TTTTTTCGCTACAAAATTAAACATACACTTAGTTTCACTAACACATTTTTACCTTTAATGTTAACATTGTGGCCATTTTTAAATGAAGTGTCATTTATGAAGTCAAACAAATTGTCATTTAACAATTTTTTGTAAACTTTTACTAATAAAAAATTTTAAATTAAAAAATAGATAATACATTCCTTTTAGTAAAAAAAAAATTAAAGCAAATTCAAAACCGCAATAAAAAAGTCTTGTTTCTTTTACTTTCTTTGGAGTCTTGGAGATTATTGGTTTAGTAATTTAATTTAGTTAGAATCAGTTTTAATGTTATTTTAGTTTGTTTCAATAGGTGTTACATCTCTTGATGTATAAATAGCTTAATATGTCTTGCAAATAAAAGAGAGATTCAGTCATCAATAAAATTGAAAAGCTTTACCCCTTTATCTCTTTTCTCTCAAACTCTAAGAAAATCTAGAAACTCTAATCTATTTCCGCAATTTTCACAAACATTTTTTTCTTAGTTTTCTTCATTCTTTCATCTTTGTTCCTTCAAATTGGTATATTCGAACTTGGTTCGTTCATTATTGTTAGAGAATTCGTGAAGAATGGCAACTCATAACAAAAATATTCACGCGCATCTACCAGTGTTCGAATGAAAGAATTTTGATCAATGGATCGTAAAGATGAATGTGATCTTCAAGTTCCAGGATGTTCTTGACACTGTGAACGAAAGTGTACTAGCATTAACAGCGAATGCAAGTGAGGAACAACAAAAAGCACATAAAAAATTGAAGAAGAAAGATGAGAAAGCCATGTTCTTTATTCATCAGAGTGTAAGTAATGAGATCTTTGAGAAGATCATGCATTATGAAAGTGCAAAGGAGACATGGGATGCAATGGAGAAATTATATTCTAGGGATGGTAAATTGAAGAAGGTGAGACTTCAAGCATTAAGAAGACAGTATGAAGTGTTGACAATGGAAGAAGAAGATGCCATCAGTCAATACTTTGATAAGGTGATCAATATCACAAATCAGATGACAAGGAATGGTTAAACTTTCACTGATGTGATGAAGGTTGAGAAAGTTCCCAGAACTTTAATACCAAGATTTGATCACATTGTGGTTGCTTTAGAGGAATCTAAGGATCTAAATTCTATGAAGATAGAAAAACTGCAAGGAAGTCTTGAAGCACATGAATTGAGGTTGATTGATAGGATCAAAGAAAGAGGTAAAGGTGCATCCTCTGGTCAAGCATTGCATGCCCAGTATGCGAAGAAAGGAAAATTCAAGAAGGATAAGAAAGATATCCAATGCTATAATTGTCAGAAGTGGGGATATTATGCATCTGAATGAAGACCAAAGAGGGTCCCAAGAAGAAAAGATTAAGCTCAATTTGTTTAAAATGAGGATTCAGATTCTAATGGTGTACTCCTGATGGCAACAGTCAAGGAAGAAGAAGAAAGAAGTGATGAATGGTACTTGGACACTGGCTGTTCAAATCATATGACAGACAAGAAATCTTGGTTTTCTGAATTAGATGATTCAGTTAATAGAAAGATAAGATTTGCAAACAATATCATAGTTTGTGCAACTTGAATTGGGAAAATATTGATTCATAGGAAGGATGGTAAGAAAGCATGCATCACTGATGTGTTGTATGTACCAGGTATGAAGAGCAGCCTCATCAGTATTGGTCAATTACTGCAAAAAGGGTACATAATGAAGATGAAAGCACAAGCTATGAAGGTTTTTGATAGCAAGAATAAATTGATTCTGAAAGCTTCATTGTCAAAGTAAAGAACTTTCATAATCAACATCAATGTGATTGAAGATTAATGCTTGCTATCAGAAAATAAGAGTGAAAACTGGTTATGGCATCAAAGATATGGGCACATCAATTTTAGGGATTTGAATATGCTTAATGAGAAGTAAATGGTGCAAGGTTTACCAAAAATAAAGTTTCTTGATGAAGTGTGTGATATGTGTTGCACTTGAAAGCAAGCGAGAAACTCATATAATGCAGAAGTACCATTCAATGCAACTAGGAAACTTAAGGTAATTCATTATGACGTATGTGGACCATTTGAAGTGAAATCAGTGGGAGGAAATAGATACTTTATAACATTCATAAACGAATTCACTAGAAAATCATGAATTTACTTGTTAGCAAAGAAAAGTGAAGTGTTTGGTGTATTTAAGAAGTTTAGACTGCTAGTTCAAAATGAAAGTGGTGAAGTAATTAGCATATTAGGAACTGATGGATGAGGTGAGTATACTTCCACTGAGTTTAATGAGTTTTGCTCATGAAATGGCATAAGTCATGAAGTCGCTACACCATACATACCTCAACACAATGGGATTTCAGAGAGGACGAACAAAACCTTGGTAAATATGATAAGAAGCATGCTGAAGCAAAAGCATATGCCTCATTACTTGTGGGGGTGAAGTAGCTCCTACTGCATCATATCTCATCAATAGAAGTTCCACAATTAAGTTGCAAGACAAGACACGAGAAGAAGAATGGTGTGGAGTAAAACCAAGTGTTCAACATCTGAAGATTTTTTAGCTCATTGTGTTTTAGATATGTACCTGATCAACTGAGAAGAAAGTTGGATGATAAATCTCAGATAATGAATATGGTTGGTTATCACTCAACTGGTGCCTACAAACTATATGATCCAAATAGTAAGAAAATAATGTTCAGCAAAGATGTGAAATTTATTGAATTAAAATGCTGGAACTGGGAAGACAAGGCATCAAATAAACCTGATAATCACTTGATTCAGAGATAGAAGAAGTTGAGACTGAGGAACAAGAAGAAATTGTTGAGGATACAGATAAAGGGGGTCCAGGAGTTACTAATAGGCCAACAAGGAACACTCAACCACCAGCCATATTGAGATATTATGAGAGGTTCCCTGATCAAGCAGTCACAGATGAAGGTTACATAGTGTAACTAGCAATGCTTGTTGAATCTGAACCAGTGTCTTTTGAGGAAGCACTTAAACAAAAACACTGGAAGAAAGCAATGATTGAAGAACTAGACTCTATAGGTAAGAATGAAACATGGAGATTAGTTCAATTACCTACTGATAAGAAGTGCATTAGTGTTAAGTGGGTATTCAAAACAAAACTGAATCCAAATGGTCAGGTGGAAAAGTATAAGGCTAGATTAGTTGCAAGAGGCTTTCTACAAAAGTATGGACAAGATTACTATAAAGTTTATGCTTCAGTAGAAAGGATGGAAACAATCAAATTGATTGTTGCTATAGCAGTCAAGAACAATTTGTCTATGTACCAGTTAGATGTAAAATCTACATTCCTCCATGGTGAGTTAGAAGAAGAAGTGTATGTGAATCAACCACCAGGATTTGAGATAAAGGGAAAGGAAGAGTATGTATACAAGCTTGATAAAGCTCTGTATGGTTTGAAGAAATCCCCAAGGGCTTGGAATAAGAAGATATACAACTTTCTTGTTCAATAAGGTTTCATGAAGTGTGTAAGTGAACATGGAATTTATTGTAGAAACACCACTGATAAGCTTATTGTGTGCTTATATGTGGATGATATGATAGTTACTAGAAGCAATAAAGCTGAGATGAAGGACTTTAAAAGAAATATGATGAAGATGTTTGAGATGTCTGATTTAGGCAATCTCACATATTTTCTGGGAATTAAGTTTGAAATGAATTCACAAGGAGTTGCGATTCATCAAAGGAAATATGCACACGATGTTTTGAAGAGGTTTAATATGCTGAATTGCAAACCAAGTTCAACTCCTATTGATACATGAGTGAAATTGTCCTTGGTAAATGATGAGAAAGAAGTGAATCCAACCTTATTCAAATAAATTGTGGACTCTTTGAGGTATTTGTGCCATACAAGACCTGATATTGCTTATGGTGTAGGGTTGATCAGCAGATACATGGTAAAACATACCACCTCTCACTTAGTTGCAGCTAAGAGAATTCTGAGATATTTGAAGGGTACAAGCAGCTATGGTATTCAATACTGTAAGGATCCAGATGGTGATATAATAGGCTATTCAGACTCTGATTGGAGTGGTGATAAAGATGACAGGAAAACTACTGCAGCTTATCTGTTCATGATTGTAAATGCAATATTTTCATGGAGTTCTAAGAAGGGTCCAGTTGTTGCATTATCTTCTTGTGAGGTTGAGTACATTGCAGCTTCCATGGCAGCATGTCAAACTTAATGGATCAACATGCTACAGATGGAATTGAAACTGGTAAAGAATAAAAAGGTAAAGCTCAGAATTGATAGCAAGTCAGCTATAGACTTGACAAAGCATCCAATAGCACATGGTAGGAGTAAACATATTGAAACCAAGTTTCATTTTTTAAGAGATCAGGTGAACAATGGAAGGTTGGAAGTGAGGCATTGCAAGACACATGAGCATATATCAGATTTGCTTACAAAACCTTTGAAATCAAGTAGTTTTGATTACTTAAAGATGAAACTTGGAATGACTGAAGCATCTAACTAAATGAATTAAGAAGATGTATTAGTTTAGTAATTCAATTAAGTTAGAATCAATTTTAATGTTGTTTTAGTTTGTTTCAATAGGTGTTACATCTCTTGATGTATAACTAGCTTAATATTTCATTCTTTCATCTTTGTTCCATCAAAAATAACACCGACATGACATTACTATCCAAAATTTCCCTTAAAGATCACGTGGCGTAGTGAAGTGTGTCCGGCAGAAGTTGATGTACCACGCCAAAGATGTACCACATACAAAACACAACTATGACCATAAATGACATGTACCATCTTCACCTTTGATCAACACGTGGAACTTTTCATGTGCTTTTTTGTCATCATAATAATTCACTCACACATCAAACATTGAATTTGAACACATGATACATTCAAACTTCACTCTTTCTTCTAATTTCTAAACACCTTCTCAATTTTTCTTTCTTTTTCTTCTAGTTTCTTCAATTCACCTCCATAATCACATTGTTTCTTTTTTTTCTTTTCTCTTTGGTTTTAATGGACCTTACTCTTAAGCTTTCTCCTTGTGGTGAAAATGTGGAAGAAAGGAGGTTGGTAAGGTCATCATCATTGGTGAGTGGAGAGATGGGAAGTATCAGTGTTCCAAATTGGTGTAGTTTTAGGTCATCTATAGAGAGATCTTCATCTCTTACAATCGATAGTGGGGAGAGAATGGTTCTAGAGAGGCAGAGAAAGATGGCAGCTTCAAAGCTTTATGGTATGTTTTTAAAGTTTGAAATAATTTCCAAAATGCCAATTTTCAAATTTGATTTTTTACTCTTGAGATTTGTATTTTTATAATTAGTTGTGTTTTACTTGGCTATTCTCGTATAACACTGCCGTGTGATGAAAGGTGTTATGTCCCACACCTACACATATGATTACCTTCCATGCTTAAAATTATTATATGTATTAACGTATAGTAATCGGTGTCATGTCTGATATCTGTGTTAGAGATTCATAACTCATATGTCATATAATCCTTGACTAGTGATACTTTAGGTTATGATTTTAAATTATGGTTGCAAGTATTGCAATTGCGGTCATTGAAATTGCTGCGACGTATTATCACTTGAATTTCGATGATTGGAATTCATAGTTGAGAGACATTTAAAATTAGTGTGAAAAAATGGGCCGGGTCCATTTGACATGTCTGTGTTGCTCAAAATTTTCCGAAGAGCGGACCTAGGTTTTAGAATCTTAACTTTAAATATGTCTCTTATGTTCTGTCCTATTTTTTGCGGACTTTTGCGGGTATGGACATTTATATAAAATTTTATATTTTTAGGCTTAAAATTTGTAAAATTTGTGGGCATTCCCCACCAATCCTTTTTTTTTTTTCAGAGAGGATCAAATTGCGGGCTTTTGCTAGACGAATCTAAATAGGACGGATATGTCTGGTTCTCACCCCTACTTAAAATTATGAAAATTGAGTTTTGATGTTTTAAAATTTTGATATTTTTGATGAAAATAATTAAATTAACATGGACTAAATTGTCTGATGTAGTTGATAATGTGATTGCATGTGTAATTTTTAAAATCATATTAGAAGAAAACTAGAGTTTTTATGTCCTAAAATTTTGATTTTTTTATGAAAATAACAAAATAAATATGGACAATGTGGTTCATAATATGGTTGAACACGTGATTTTCAGTCTGATCCACTACTACATCATCAATATTGTGGAGGGGTTGCGATTGCGATTATTGTGGTGGTTGCTACGACCTGCATTGTAGCCATTGCAGCGTGAATTTTGACTAAAAGGTGTTTGAAATAGACACTTAAGAAACACTTAAAGTTTAGAATTTTTGTTATATCAGAAGAAAATTGAGTTTTAATGTTCTAAAATTTTAAAAGTTGCGGTGTCTGCAGGTTTTCTCCGCCCCACACTCATTTTTTGCGGGACGGAACTAAGTTTAAGGTCTTCATCCTCAATTATGCCCGTCCCATTTTTTTGTGGGCTTTTGCGGGACCAGTTTAAACAGGACGGACATGTCCTCTTGCCACCCCTAGCCATAACCGCTCTTCAACCGCAATTTAAAACCATTTCAACCTTTGCTTTGTAAAGTCTTTTTGTTTCATCAACATTTTTGGTTCCGTGTTGAAAAACCGACAAAAGTGCTTCAAATCGAAGCTTGTAGTTATTGCTTCATCAACCTTAATCTTTACTATATTTCTTCTGATATGTGCTTTATAAGTTCAAATATGTGCTCATACAACATTTCATATATAGGTCCAATACATTCATCTGAAGGAGTAATTGCTTCTAGTTTCCAGATATCAACCAAACACAAAAACAAATCAACGATTTTCCCGAAAACAACAATCAATGAACTTCCACTTCTGCCTAAATCTACCGATACTAAGATTAAGAATCCAACAAAAAAGCTTAATCTCCCTAACTACTGCAGTCTTAAGGGTGATGTGATGGAGAAATTGCGACAAATGCCGACCGTAACAACGACGGGAGACGGCCCAAATGGTAAGACAATAGAAGGGTTTCTGTACAAGTATAGATCTGGTGAAGTTTGTATTGTATGTGTCTGCCATGGTAACTTCCTCACACCAGAAGAGTTTGTCATTCATGCTGGTGGAAAAGAAGCTGCTAATCCAATGAAGCATATCACTGTTCACCCTGTCTCATTTTAGAGATCAATGGTAACAATGTCGATTATTTCGTCTTTCTTAGAATGTAGAGGTAAGTGAAAACAATAAAATTATCTTTGATTAATTTAGCTTTAATGATTATCATATCCATTGTTCAAGTGGTTTGTGTAGAAGAAAATCTTTATCAAAAAATCCATTTGTTAAAAACTTTTCCTTATTAGTACTTCTTTGTAATATCATTGACCGATAAAATACTAAACTACGAGACTCAAATCACCTAAACTTTTAATCACAAAAAAAAACTATGTTATACTATCGTGGGTGAACTAGGAACAGAGCCGTCTTGAGTTTTTGGAGGTCTTGTTAAGTTAACTACGGTTTAACCGTGACAACAACAAAGGGACTATATTTAGTTATGATTTAACCGTGACTGATCTATCATGAGGTCTAATTAGCCTCAATTTAACCTTGGAGAATTTGACTTCTGTGTTGTAAACTACCTGACAGATGACACACCCTCAAACACGGCCCACGGCCCTGCTAGAAGAATTATTTTCTTCGAAGCCGAGATACTCTAATGTGATCTAGTGGCAACATGTGAAGCAAGATAGCCATTTGTTCTGCGAAGCATTTGATGCTGGTTTTGTGTTTTGAGCTGCAGATGGTGCTACCGTTGTTTTCGTCGAATTCTGTTGCTCTGTCTGCTTCAGCTGCTTTTTCGTCTCTTCGCCGTGTTTTGACGAATGAGTTTTGTCTCCATGTGACAAATGAGTTTTGTCTCCATCTGCGTATCTTCATATTACCAAAAAAACAGTTAAACTTTTTGCTCAAGAAAATTAAGCAAATCATCATCCCGGTGTTTATGGTATACATAAAAGCTTTATAACACCGACACCTCTGAGTTAACATGATAGTGTATGCGTCGTGTTTTTGGTGTCCGTGCTTCGCATAAAAGTAGTTAGTAACTTGAACTTACGATTTAAATGCAAAAGATTGGGTGCTTCCATTTGAATGCCGAGAATGGTCATTATTAGAACTAGAAAGTGCGTCCGAATGCATCGCCGCATTAAAAAATGTTGTTGGTCCTTTACTTTTATTATTCTCTGGTGCTGTACTAGTTTCCATTATAACCTCTCGCATTGTCTCTGCCGCTGTTGCCTCAGTTACTTTCGAATTACTTTCGTGTTGCTCAGCGAAATTCGTGCTAATATCATTGAATTTAGTAGCATGTGTTTGAGGTGAAAGTGGAGGATGATTACTTTGAACACCACCCGACATATTCATGTGATCGACATTCTTATCCATGTGATCGACATTCTTATCCAACTCTCCAGATTTAGTCAACCAAGCCATGTCGTTCGAGAAACTCTTTCCCATTTGAATGCTAAACAACGATTCATTAGAGGCACCACTCCATTGAGCATTTAGTCTATCTCTCGCGAAAACATGTAATGGAATTCTCGGTGTTGAAGATGGAGTTACAGAACAATTCTCTTGTCTTTCCATTATCTGTATCGGAGGATTTTGTATCGTCTCAGGAACAACTACTAATGTTGAAGATTTTTTTTGTTCATGCTTTGGCATTGATCTTACTGGGAAATCATCATCACTAGATTCTGAAGCTAACATGTTTTCTTTTTGCGATTTCGGATGTACATGAGTATCTTTCTCGGTGTTACTCGAAGCACTTAGAGAATCATGTTTGTGTTGCGGAGATGAAGATTCAAAACTTGTAGAATGAGAATCATGCATGTTTTGCTGAGTTAAAGCTTTTTGTTCATGCTTTGGCATTGAGCTTACCAGCATATCATCATCACTATCCTTTCGCGATTTTTGATATGCATGAGTATCTCTCTCGGTGTTACTCGAAACACTTAGAGAATCATCCATGTGTTGCTGAGTTGAAGATTCAAAACCTGTAGAATGAGAATCGTGCATGTTTCGTTGAGTTGAAGATTCAAAACTTGTGGAAAATGATAGACGTCGATGAGTCTAACTTGTTAGCAACATTATTTGTTGCAAAATAAGAAATTGTGTTTCGAGTTTTGACAACCAACTTTAAAAAACTTTTCAAATATATGGTTAACGAATATAACAGGTGTTAAAATTCGTTAACCACCAACATAATTTAACTAACCACGAATTTTGACTAATCACCGCAACTTTCAGGTATTCAATTTTACATGTAGTTGAATACTTGAAAATCACGATTAATACGTACATATTTCTTATTAATGAAGTTACTTAACTAACCACATATTTAAACTGCGTACTCTAACCGAAAATATATTTAAAGAGATATTATTACCTCTATGGTTCTTATGATATTCATTATCTAGTTGCTGGTTTTGTGTTGATTCAAGTGTGAACAAAGGGTGTGATGGTTGACTTGAGGAAGAAGCATGTGATGTTTCTTCATGATTAGGAAAGTTCCAATGATCTTGATGATGCCAAACATTACCATGATCATGATGGTGAGTTTCATTTTCATGGAAGGGATTTCCTAGTGATGATTCAAATGTAGGTAGTTGATGATGAAAATTAGGCTCAAAAGGTGCATGATCATGCAACTTATGAGATTCATTTGCATCATTATGATCACCAAATACTAAGAAAGGGTTTTGTGTTGATGAAAATGAAGGGTCAGAGTTATTTGGATAAGGAGAATGAAATTCACCAAAAGGGTTAGCAAGATTTGTTGAAGAGTTTGTTTGGTCATTGGTGTGAAGAAAAGTTGGATTTTCATTATGAGGTGTTGTAGTGGTTGAAATTGGCATAAAATGAATGTGATGATCATGTGAAAGTTCTGGCTTCTTTATTGTGTTGAATGGTTCACTTTCATTTGAATTTGTTGAATGATGAGTTGTATGATGAATGTTGGATCCACTTCCACTTTGAGATTCCATCAGCCAATAATGTCAAGTGATTTTTAGGGTCTTGATGTTCTGTAAAACAAGAATCGAAATCAAGTAAGAAACCATATCCTTTCGAGATTTGACCTAATTTAATTTCACAAAACCAATTTATAAAATAGAGATTTCTCATAAACATATATTCAAATTATATAATTCCATGTGTTTATGTTATTCAATTTTCGGTGTGAGACTCGTTATCTAGGTTCATGTTCATACGATAATAACATAAATAATTTACTTATCAAAGATTGAGTCAATCAGATCTATTTTTTGAGTCCAAAAAATAAATGATTCAAACATTCTAAGATTTTCATTTTGTTTGCAATGTGCATAATTTTATTTCCAACAGCATTAGATTCTATCATCATTAAAGGATTTGGTCTCTATTTTAACAAAATGTTACTCATATAGCAATGAGCAATGCAATATGGTTATTTCCAGCAATTTCAACAAAGGATTTGGTTTTTGAAAAAACTATAATAACAAACTAATTTCTTATCCATTTCATGAAATAACTAACTACATTATCATGATGTGTATATATAAATACAAATTGCAAAATTTAAACATAACCTATAATATGTAGCATGATGGATTATAGAAACAAGAATATATTAATGCAATGTTACCTTAATCTCAGTTCCATTACCTCAATCTCAATGTAGTGGGAAAAAAATCAAGAATCAGAAAAATTGAAACAAAAGTAAGGTTAGGAGGAAGAGGATGCAACAGAAAAAGTCTAAATAAGGAGAAGGCTTTCCACATGTTTAGGTGTTTTTCTTGACTAAATAAGGTAAGACATAAATTAAATTTTATATAGATTTTTTTTAATCAAATGGTAAAAGGGTAACTCAATATACGAGGACTTTCATTTTATAGGCTCTTGAGAGATCGGATATACAAAGTCTTATCTCTGTTTTTATAACAGAGAGGCTGTTTCCAGCAGAATTCGAACCCATGATCCCAGAATCGTAATGAAATGACCTTATCTTTTTTGAATCAAAACGTAATTAATTTAATTCAAAAAGCAAAAATTATTCAAGGCGATCAAATATGATTCATCCACTGAGAATCAAAAAGACAAAAAAAACGAAACTAAGAAGTTAAAGAGATTACACTATCATCCTTTTTGCAATGTGCTTGTGAAGCTTCAAACTATTACAACCAAAGAACAATTGTTGTATTGTTTCATCCTGGTTGCAAAAACAACAAGACTTGTCATTAGTGATCCCAAATTTGTGTAACATGTCTCGTGTAGTCAACCTCATGACAATCATTCTTTAGAGTTAGGTACATCTTCTTCATATCAAACTTGTTTTCCTGCCCCATTCGAGTCCAAACCAAATTATTCAGCACTTTGTTCCTCACCTACATAAGGTAGTAAATATGGATCCATTTAATTCATAGGTACTCCTTCCTACCATTTAAGTTCCAAAGTGTTTTTGCAAGATGAATTTCATTTTAACTAAATTATTGTAGTTTTTTTAATGTAAAAAAAGGACATTTCTCAAATATAAAAAGGTTATAAAAATTTGGAGTTACAATAAAGATTTAAATATAAGATTGAAGCTTGCAATAACTTTTATTTTTGGTGTAAATCCTTGCAAATATCTTTTATTTAACTTTTGGTCCATATTATTTTGTTTTCTATTTTACAAAATTGATTTATATTAGAATTGATCACAATAATATGGATTTTTTTTTTTAAATAATCACTTTTTTTTAATTTTTTTTTCAAATAATCAGTTTTTCAAAAATTTTATCAAAATGATCACTTTTCAAATAAAAAAATTCCACCACACAAAGGAGTAGCCACTCTGTGGCGCATGCAATCAATTTAAAGAGGAGGCGCCACACTGCATGACTTGTCCTCCTCTGTAAAGTCATGCAGTGTGGCGCATGCATGTGTTTTTGAGAGGAGGTGCCACCCACCTTGGCTTGATAGTGTAATTGCAATTTTTTTTAAATAAAATAAAAAAAACTAAAAATATTTTATATTAATATTTAATATTACACAACGCATGGATATATTTTTTTTAGACGTCCCCTCAATCTAAGTGGGTCCCTGTATGACATAAACGGCTGCGCCTTTGCCTCGTCCCTTGTCTCACTCCTCTCTGTTGATTTTCCTGAAGTGTTTGTGGTCTGTTCTGACTTGCTTGATTATGAGGTGCTTGATGTGATGGTCTTGGTATATCAGGATTATATATCTCATCGATCATTTCGTCCCACTGTGTTGTGCTTTCAAAGAGATCGGTGCCCATATTGTTGAAGTTTGGTCTTGTTGGTTGGGATATGTGTGGGTGGTGGGGTGGTTGATAGTATTGGGATGTTGAATCGTGATGAAAACGAAGCAACGGTTCTTGTGGTGTATGAAATTCGTATGATGGTTGGGTACTTCGATGGTATGATGTTTGACTATATGTAGGTTGAGTGGTATGGTAGATGTAAGTGTTTAGTTATTCGTATGTATTTTTGGTAAAACCAGGTGTGTGAATGTCATGACTGATGTCATAACATTCTGGATTATTAGGTACTTTATGCAGAAAAAGAATGGCATACAGTAGCTGCTATTTATGAGTGTGTATCTGAGCATTTTGCAATGATCACATTCATCACTTTCTACCAAAATCAGTAAACAGGATTTCTGTTGTCAGAACAAATGTTATGACATCCTGTACTGATCTAACAGTTATGCAGTTTGGTTAATTCTGAGATTTTTCAGGAATTTGGTTCATACATTCCAGAACAGAATCTCACGTGGACTTTAGGTTAACCTAGCTCAACCCTAATCTGGTTGATAAAGTCTTGTGATCAAGTCTTGAGGTTAACCCTAATTAACCCTAGCTTTTCGTGGAAGTCCTAACTGAAGAAACAGCTGCATATATATTCAACAGGAAAGCTGATTGGAAATCAAACTCTTAGACAGAAGATCATCTTGGGGCTGTATAGTTTTAACTATTGTAATCCAAGCAAGTATCATTGTGATAAGTGACTTGGAATAGGTTTTGATTGTAAGGGTTGTGTATCACTCAAAGCTTTGAAGCAAGAGTGTTTGTGTCTCTTGACTAAAGCTTTGAAGCAAGGTCAAGTTTAGGTTTATGTATCACTCAAAGCTTTGAAGCACGAGTGTTTGTGTTACTTGATTAAAAGCTGTGAAGCATAATCAAGTGTATGTTCTGAAGAGTGTCTTCATTATTTCATTAGTCAATTGTTTAAGTATCACTGCTGTGATTGAGGGGGAGTGAGTAGGAACTCAGATTTAAGTTGAACTTGGATTGAAGTTGCATTGGGTAGGTCTTAAGTGAAGGAGATAAACTGGTTGGTTTATTCCTGAATTAATATCTCTTATAGTGGATTTCCTCCCTGGCTTGGTAGCCCTCAGAGTAGGTGTTGTTTCACACTGAACTGGGTAAACAATTGACTGTGTTCTTTACTGTTTTTTTATTTACTGTCTTATAGAAAGTCAGATACGGTGTCATAACATTCACTGTGACATTGAGTATCTGCTGCCAGAATTTCAATTGGCATCAGAGCAGGCACCCTGCCTGTCTTACTGGGTGAGATCTAGGGATATCACTTTCTGGCACTATGGACAAAGAAGGAGTTTTTGGAAATAGACCACCCATTCTGGATGGATCAAATTATGACTACTGGAAACCTCGTATGATTGCCTTCTTAAAATCACTGGACAAAAAGGGTTGGAGAGCTGCTGACAAGGGATGGAACCATCCCACCATAACTGAGAAAGATGGGACAATCAGTCTGAAGCCTGAGGAAGAATGGAGCAAAGAAGAAGATGAGTTAGCCCTTGGTAATTCCAAAGCTTTAAATGCCTTGTTCAATGGAATTGATAGAAATATATTCAGACTAGTACATCAATGTGAACTGGCCAAGGAAGTTTGGGACACTCTCAAAACTACCCATGAGGGCACATCCAAAGTAAAAATGTCAAGGCTTCAGATGCTGACTACCAAGTTTGAGAACCTAAGGATGATGGAAGATGAAACCATTCATGAGTTTCACATGAACATCTTGGAGATTGCCAACACCTCAGGAGCATTGGGAGAAAAGATGTCAGAAGAAAAACTGGTGAGAAAGATTCTCAGATCTTTGCCTAAAAGATTTGCAATGAAGGTAACTGCTATAGAGGAAGCCCAGGATATCAGCAAGTTGAAGGTGGATGAACTCATTGGGTCTCTTCAGACTTTTGAGATGGGGATCAGTGAAAATGTTGACAAGAAAAACAAGAGCATAGCACTTGTATCCAACACTGAAGATGAAAACAAGGAGGATGAAGAAGAAAATATTTCAGAAGCTATAGCCATGCTTGGAAGACAATTCAACAAACTCATCAAGAGAATGGATCCAAAGTCAAGGTCAAATGTTAAGAACATTCCTTCTGACATTAACAGATATTATGACTCCAGCAGAAGACCAAAGTCTGAAGAGAAGGGAAATCAAAGCAGAGGAATTCAATGCCATGGATGTGAAGGATATGGGCACATTCGAGCTGAATGTCCTACCTTTCTTAAGAAACAAAAGAAAGGAATGTATGTTACCTGGTCTGACTGTGATTCAGAAAGTAATTCTGAAGAAGAATCTGCCAAACTAGTTACTGCACTAACTAGTTTTTGTACCTCTGAAAGTGACACTAGTGATGAGGAAGTGACATTTGAAGAACTGACTGATACCTACAAGAAATTATGTATCAGAAGTGCTGAAGTCTGTCTGCAAAATGAGAGACAAACAAAACTCATAATAAAGTTGGAGGCTGAAAAAAGGGCATACATTGAATCTATAAGTCATCTAGAAAGGGAAGTTCAAATGCTGAACTCAAAACTGAACCAGATGACCAAATCTGTCAAGATACTGACAAATGGAACTGACAAATTGGAAGAAATCCTTCAGGTTGGACAAAATGTGGGAAACAAGTCTGGTCTAGGATTTGTGGCAGCAAAGAAATCTGGTGCAGACAAGAAGATCAGGCC